GTGTCCACACGCCTTAGCCGGTCACCCCGAGCAACACGAAAACACATATCAATGCGCCTTTTACAGCCAGGGCCTCCTTCACAGGCTCCGAATAAATGACCAAGCTGAGCAAAATGTAAATTTGTAGTTATCCCTCGGAGACATAATTATAGGGAAAAAAATAAGGACGGTGGCATTTGGACGGAGGACGCTGGCTCCCTCCCTGCAGCTGGGCCTGGTGTCAGGGAGCGTTCGGGACACAGAGCTGGAGGAGGCTGGGCCCTGAGGCCACGATGCCAAAGGCTGGAGCTGAAGGCTGCTGCCCTCTCCATGCTGCCCCGGGCCTGCCCCAAGCAAGGCTATGTCCAGCCCAGGCCCTCACTTGCGGCCACGCCATGAAAGGGCCCATTCATGCACCAGGCCGCTGGCATGGGTTACCACGGCCAGGCCTGTCTCTGCCACCTCTGTTTTCTTTTCATTAGAAGGATTCCCATATTGAAGGCCCACGAGAGGCAGAGTCCAGGACATTCCACTGGGCACCAGGAGGCTGACAGTGGCCCACAGACTCCTGCGCGTTCAGGAATGAGTCTGCATCACCACAGCAGATGGAGAAACTGAGGTGCAGGCTGCATGGCTGGCAGACAGCAGAGCTGGGGTTTGGGCCTGGACCTCCAGCTGCCCAATGGCCCTGCTGGGAGAAGCTCAGGAAACAGGGGAGTCCTGAGTCACAGCACAGGAGGGAGGGCTTCCTGGAGGCAAAGGAGCTTGTGCTGGGAGGAGAGGATGAAGCAGGCCATCAGTCCCAGGCAGGGTCTGTCTCGGGAAGCCCTGCATGCTGGACCCTCTGCCGGGCCGCTGGCCCTGTGGCATGTACTGGCCCGGGCGCCCGACAGCGTGTAGGTGTCCACAACGTGAGATGCGGAGCGTGCCTGGGTCTGTGTGTGAGACCATTTTCCAGAAGGGCACCCTTCCTTCTCCCTGTTTTTGCTCACAGATGGGCTGTTTGGGAGATGGGCAGACAGGATGGAAGGCTCGTGCTCCAGGCACTGAGTCATGAGCCACCATCGGTCTGGACCGTCTCCTTGGGAAGGATGGCTGGGCTGGGTGGGCCCTCCGGCTCCCTCCGGCCTCTCCCCGCACCCCCCGGCGGATCCCTGTGGACACAGGCTGTATGGGGGGCTCTCGGGGGCCGCACTGCAGCCCGCAGTACATGCGCTGTGTGCCTTGTGGATAAAGACTTGTTCATTCCCTTTCTGTACGACCCTTTTTGTACTTTACAGCCCATTTGCCTTTTGGGGGCACCCTAGGCCCTGGGCTGGGCCCAGAGGGGCACAGGAAGTGCCAGAGCTGAAGAGGGCTGGCCTTGGGGACAGGTTTTGGCATCATCGAGAACCCTGCGTCCAGCTGCTCTGAGACCCCCAGCAACCCCCAGCCACTGATGGGGCAGGCGGGCCACACCTTGGGGAGCAGCACTGCGCTCTCTCCTGTCTAGCCCTCTCTGAGCTGTAGGCATCACTAGTGCCAGCTCTCACAACCAGCGGGCAGACCCTCAGAGAGGCTGCTGACTTGCCCAAGGACGCACAGCTGGCAGGGAGAGGGGGACGGAGGCAGGCTCTCCTGATTCAGGCGCTAACTGGGGAATTCCTCCGACACTGGCTTCGCATTGTGGGCCCCTGGAGCCCACTTCCCAGCAGTCAGGCAGCGGAGCACAGATCGCCAGCTCGGGGTGGGCCAAGCCTCATGTTCCTGACAAAGAGGTCTCAAGCCCTGTGTGCTCCCATCTCTGCTGTCACCTGCCCTGACGCGCACGGAATCTTGTGAATCTTAATGAGACAGGCAAAAGAGTTACCAAATCCACACAGCCCCATCCGCTGGCCAGGACCCTAAAGGCCCAGGGGCCACGCAGGAAGCATGTCTGTGAGGCTGGGAGTGTGCGCCCCGGGCCCAGGGGTCCTGCAGCCCCACCCTGCTGGACCTCCTCCGTGAGGAGGCCAGCAGCAGGCAGACGAGCAGGCAGCCAGCCCCCCACAGTGGGCCTGCCACTCACTCCCGTGTCCTTAGGACAGGCTTCCTGCCTCTTCCAGCCTCAGTTTCCCCACCTGCAAAGCAGCAGAGTAGCCCAAAGGAGAGTAGCCACCAAGGGAAACTCACTGGGAAAACTGCAGGAGGGTCTGAGCCTCCCACATGCCACACTGCGGTCAAGATGGACCTGGTCCAAGGTCAGAGGTCCCATTTCCCAGGGGCCCCACACACCGCGCAGGGGCAGGACATCGCTTTTGAGGTGCCAGGCCATCTGAGCCAGTGGGTGTCCCATGCCAGGCCACCGTCAGTGCCGAGCTGTAGCAGCCATGTGACACTACAGCCCTGGAATCTGCCGGCTCCTCACTCCCCCCACCCCTGTGCTGGCTGTGGGTGAGCGGTTTCATTTTGACATCAGGCAAAAGTCAGAGGGATGACTCAGGAGCGTTGACTGGCTCTCCCGGCACGCGCAGGAGGCCCGGGGGGGCCTCTGAGGCTTGGGGGCGGCCCACAGTGGGCCTCAGACTGCAGGTGGGGCAGGGGCTTGTCTGGGAACGGGAATGGGGAGCTGGGCTCGATGTCTGTGCCTTTGGACAAGTTGAGTCAGTGCCCCTGCAGAGCTGGCCCCACGTGGAGAGTGGAGGGTTAACCCAGCCAGGCACCATCCAGCTTCAGGAGCTGTGAAGAGGCAGAGAAGGCACTGCCCGGACCAGGCCAGGGGCCCTGGGATTCAGAGGCCCAGCCCACCAGCCACCCCCAGGAGACCACTCACACAGGGGTTCTTTCCCCGGGCACTGCTGACATCAAGGACCACGTAATTCTTTGCCACAGGGCTGTCCTGTACTTTAGAGGAGGCTGAGCAGCATCGCTGGTCTCCGCCTCTGGGTGCCACAGCAGACCCCCAGTTGTGACAGCCAAGAATGCCCCGGACATTGCCAGATGCCCCCCTGGGGGACGCAGTCACCCCCAGCTGGGTTGCAGGAAGCAGGTGGGCCTGGAGAATTGGGGCAGGAGCTCAGGGGCCATCGGGTCCCTCACCTTGAGGGCCAGCCCTGGGGCAGGGGCCCTGGGGCAGGGGACGCATGCCCTGCGGCCTTGGGCAATGGGCAGGGTAGCAGCCCGCTCTGGGGCCGTTGGACCTGCTCATTCCTGCAGCACCTGCAGCCAGGGGTTGATCAGCATCGAGGACTGTGGCCATCGGCACGGGTACTATGTGAGGGTTCCTGCTGCTTCTCACACGCAAGGGGTACTCAGGTACACCACGGGTGGCACACGCATGTGCACACACACACAAGCTCTGAAACCGGCCTTTCCTAGAAACAAGTATAAACCCAGAATAGACCCAGGGAAGGGTGGGGAAAGAAATGTGTTCTGAGAACTTTGAGCCAGGGGACCCCAGCACTAGAAACCTTAAGAAACAAATTGATTGAAATACCAGTTTACTGGGGGAAGGAGCGGCTCTTAGCCCCTTCCTGCAGCGCGGTCCCCGAGAGGGAGATCGAGGACCTGGAGGGCCCCAGAAGCGAGCTGGGGCTGGGCCCTCAGTGCCAAGCAGAGCCAGGCAGCGGGGGCCTCCTAGCCCCTGGCCCCTTGTTCAATTCACTTTCAGGTCAGCTGGCAAGAATTTCTGGGAGCTCCTTCAGATGCTCCAATGAGTGTATTTCAGCTCACCGTGAAGTGAGGGGAGAGCTCGGAGCTCCGTGGACCGACCAGCCGGTCCTTGATGCCACAGGCCGTGAGCCAGGCCCACACACTCTTTTCCAAGCCAAGGCCTGGGCTCTGGGCCATAGGCCCCAAGAGTTGCCTATACCTTGCTTTACATAACAAAGGTGTTCCTGAGAGGGTGGGAAACTTGAACTTGTGAAGTGAGGGCTGCCTGCAGCCCTCTCAAGGGGAACACCGTTCAAAGGGTGCCTCCTGAGAGGACGCCTGTCTACAGTGACTAAGCCCTCTGCAATTTCACTTAGAATCTCCCCAAGGCCACGCCTCAGGTTTGTCTAAAGTAGGAGAGGGGGCTGCATCCCTCAGAGGAAGCCTCCCATGAGGGCCGTCTCCTGACCTTGAAGACCTGCATATCCACACCAGGGACCAGCCTCTCACTCCAGCCTGTCCCAGGACAGCCGGTGTCACACGCACTAGGCTGTGTGGCCTTGGGCCAGTCCCTTGCCTTCTCTGGGCCTCAGCATTCTCATCCGCAAATGAAATTATTGAACAGATGACCTGTAAGGGCCCTCCCAGCCCTAGGGGCTCCCCAAGGTCTCCTGCAGAATTCACCAGGCCAGCCTGCAACAGGCCCGAGGCCAAATGAGGGGGCCCAGGGCCAGGGCATGGAGGTGTTAGGGAATGTCGACTCCCACCTTCCGGACTTGAGCACCTACCCCCAGGGGCTTTGCAGGTGCTGACGCAGGGGACTGCAGACTGAAATCCCCCAGGGAGTTGCCAAAAGACATCTACGGCCGGGTGCCGTCTCGTCTCCCAGCCAGAAACACAAGGCAGGGCGTTCGGTCTGCCAGTACCTAGTGAGGGCTGGTGCAGGGCAGAGCGGGAGGCCTTGGGTTCGGGGCTGGAGGAGGCTGGGAAATACGCGTGGACACCCAGCCCGCAGTTCTGAAAGTCACACTAGATGCAGGCTTGTGACTGAGCAGCCAGGGTGGGCTGCAAGGGGGCATGGGCAGGGGCTCCGGGGCCGGGGGCTTTTCCCATCAGGGACCCCATCGCTAGAGGGAATCCCTGAAACAAACCCCCAGGACCTGTGCTAAAAAGAGCTGGGGGAAGGAGCCCGCGGAGTCGGTAACCGAAGCTGGCCGTTGCCTCGGGGCGACCCGCGGGCTGCCCACGGCTGGGCGGAGGACCCTCGAGCACCCAGCCTGCCGCCGAGCTGGTTTGGAGAGGGCTGGCCCCGCGCGCGGCCGACCTGGGAAGCGGGTGGGGGCTGCTCTCCGCCTTCCGCACCCCGCCCGGAGGGGCAGAGCGCTGCGCGCGGCGGCGGGGCGGCTCGGTGCCCGGCGGGCGGCCCGTCTGCGCGGCCCGGGCGGGCCTGCGGTCGGGGATGAGGACCGCGCCTCCGCGCCGACCTGGGAGCTCCTCGGAGGGCGCCAGCGCGGCGGGCGGAGCGGGCCCCCGGAGCGGGAGGTGAGTGTGCGCGCCGCGCCCCGCGGCCCCGGGAAGGGTCACCCGCGCGGCGGCTCCGGGGGACTGGGGGCTCAGACCGCGGGCTCACCCGGCTGCCCGCGCCCGTCGCGGCCCCGGCGCCCTCGGTGGCGCGCCCGGAGGGAACCCCCCGACCTCGCTGCGCCGCGGCCCCGGCCCGGCTCCCCCGACCGCGCTCGCCCCGCCCGGGACGGCGGCGCTGCAAACGCCAGGGCGCGCCGGGGGCCCGGCCTCAACCCGCCCAGCGCCGCCGGCAGAGCTCGGGCAGCCCCGCGGGGCGCTCCGCACGGTGCAGCGCAGAAGCCGGAGCTGCGCGCCCCCCGGCGCCGCCGAGCGGGGGTCCAGGAAGCGGGGGCCGCCGGCCGGACTGCGGCGAGCGCGGCGCGGGGCCTGGGCCTCGGAGAGCTGGGCCGGGCCGGGGGGGGGCGGTGGGGAGGGGGGGCGCGCGCGGCCGCGGGTCCGCTCATTCATTGCGAATCGGGGCGGTGGTCCCAGAGCCCAGCCGCCGCCTCCTCCGGGGCGCCCCCGGGCGTGCGGCCCCGGGTGCTCGGCACTGCGCGGGGCGGCGGCAGCGGGGGCAGCGCGCGGGGCGGGGTGGGGTCTTTCGGGCCCGCCCGGGGTCTCCGCCCGCCGCGCTCCTGCCGGGGCAGCCACACGGCCCCCAGCGGGACCCGCGCCCCTGGCCGGTCGGCGCACGGAGGGAGTCGGGCGGGAGAGACCCGTGGGGACGCGGCGCCGCGCGGCGGCGGCCGGAAGGGAAGGCCGACCGGGCTCGCGGGGACTACCGGCGGCCACCCCGACCCCAGGCTCTGCCTCCGCACCCTCAGCCCCGGCGACAAGGGCGCAGGAGGGACATGCGGGGCGTCTGCTGCCCGGGCGCTTCTGCTCCCTGGCGCGGCTGACGCTGTTGACCCGTTGGGACCCGCGGGAAGCCCACGCTCGGGGCTGCGCAGGGACTGTGCCACGTGTGCCTGCGCTCAGCCCGCACGTCACGCTCTAGACGGGGAGGCTGACCGGCGCTCAGGCCAGGTAGCCCCGGCGCCACCCAGCTAGTGAGCGGCAGGGGCTGCCCGCCTCTCCGTTCCTCAGAGGGACCTAGTTCCCCCACCACCACCCTGTCCCTGGGCAGAGTCCCTGGGCACATGTGCACAGAGCCCTGTCTGCGTCTGGCTCTGTCCTAGGAGCCCCCAACCCAGCAAAGACCCCTTGCCTTCCTGATAACAAAGAGGGCGAATAGGTAAAGGGCCAGACTGGTATCAGACAGGGAGCTGGTGGAAGCTGGGCGGGGCTTCAGCTTTAGGAGGGGTGGCTGGGCAGCCTCTGAGAAGGTGGCAGGCGGGTCCCGGAGGTGGGGCGAGGGAGAGCGTGTTTGAGGCTAAAAGGAAGGCCAGGCCATCCTGAGGGGAGTCTGTGGCCTCTACTATGGCATCTTGGCCCCAGAAGCACAATGAAGACTATTGTGGCCATTGTGTCTGGACCCCAGGCTGGCAGTGTGGAAGCCAGCAAGTCCCAGGATTTGGGGGGGTTAAAGAGCACTTAGAGGTCATGAACTTCAACTCTGTCATCAGTGCTTCTGTCCCCACCAGAGCATGCCTCCAGGTTACTGACTCTGCTTGAATACCCCCAGCAACAGGGAACTCACTCCCTTTCACAGCCACCCGATCCTGGGTCCTAGGGTGAACAAAAGCCCTCTACCTGTGGTTTCTGCTGACTCGGGCCCTGTCATCCGGGGATGGCACACAACATGCCAGGTTGACTCTTATACACGGCTGCCTTTGGAGAATATTTATAGATTACGCCCCATTTAAGCCAAATCTTTTCAGGCCCTGTGCATTTTCTGACTTGACATCTCCGGTCAGGCACCATCCTGCCCTCCTCCCTGGAGGAAGTCGGTGGATCTCTGCCCCATCTTCACATTTGCTGAACACGACGGTGGTCTGGAAGTAGAGGCCTGCTCCCACCGCCTTTATTTCAGAGCCCCCACTGACCTCGGGTCACACTGGGGGCTCCTCCTGAATCCACAGACTCCAAGGCAGGCCCACCCCACCCTCCTGGTCTTGACTCTTACTAAGAATTCAGTCACCCATCTGCTCCTAAAATGAGGGGCTGACTGTTAGGGGCGGGCTTCAGAGGCAGCTGCTCAGGGGCTATGTGGCAAGTCCCCCACGGCTCTGAGCCCCGTTTCCCACCAGGAAAGTGGGGAGGCCTCATGGGGCAGGCAGAGGAGGTACAGAGTGCCCGTAGCACTGACCTGGCATGCTGTGAGTGCGAGGCAGGTGCCAGCTATGGTGCTTCCTACCCACGGGTTTGGGGTGACCCTGTGGGGTCTATCAGAAGGCTTTGGAAGATGGGAAGGACTTGGAGGGTGGAGGGTGCCAGTGCCGGCTGCCAGCCCAGGATGGAGGGCAGTTGTAGGAATGGTCAGGAAATCCAGGTCCTGCTGGACACCACCTTCTCCGGTCCTCCCAGCGAGTAGCACCCCCCAGGCAGCCTCTGTGCTTTGGTTCACTCCTGACGTGTGCAGTGGGGAACAGACTGGGGCGGCAGTGTGACTGACCCGCTGCCCACCACAGACGGGGTGGAGAAGCTCTGCTCCCGACAGCCAAGTCTGACCCCATTCTCCTCTCCCATGACAGGCCTCGTGGCCCGTTCTTAGGATGCCAGCTCCCCCTTGCCACCTCCTGCCTTGGACACCTGGCATCCTGTCTCCCAACTCCACCAGCCAGCCTCCTCGTCACCACCACACATGGTCCCACCCTCCCTGTCAATGGTCTGCTCTGCCCTCAGCCCCTCCACACCCAGCTTTCATCTTCTGTGGGGTTCCCATCTCCTCTGCTAGGCTGTCCCCCCCTGAGGAAGCACCCTGTCCAGAGCCCACCTCCACTGAGGCAGGTACAGCTGCATGTGACACACGCTGGCTGGGGGACTTTCAGGACTCGACTGCCGGTCTCCTTCCTGGGGCAGACTGGCTCAGTGCATTCTGGGAAAGACCTGGGCAGGGTGCAGGGTGGGGGTGGGGGCGAGCTATGTGCCGCGGCCTCTTCCCTGCTGGTTCACCCTCACCATTGGCATTGGTAGCCAGGCTGGGGTGGCAGATGCTGGCCTCGGAGACTGGTTTCAATCTTGTACTTTAATCCCACTGTGAAGTCAGCTAAGGACCCACTGTTCGCTCTGGGTAGAAGAAAAGGGGGCCTGTGCCGCCTCTACTCTGTTCAGCAGGCCCCGGCACACCCTGGGGCTGTGTCTACCCAGGGGCCACCTTGTTCTGTGTACCCAAAGGAACCAGCAGCACGGATGGTGGCCCCACTTTAAACACACATGCTGTGCGTGGACCGCTGTCCTGGCTCCTGAGGACTCCGCGTGCAGTCCCACCATGTGTGCACACTCCAGAGGCCAGAGAGCCGAGGCAGTGTCATTCTGACGCGGAGTTCCTGGCTCCCTAAGCCTGTGCTGTCAAGGATCTCAGCATCGTCCTGGGGTGACGCCACTGTAGATTCCCCCCAGCCTGGGTGCACCAAGCCAAATTTGGGTAGTAGTAGAAAGCAGGGTGGGGGCGCCAGGCAGGGATGCGCCCCAGAGGTGCTGGGAGCCTGAGGCCTGGTTGTGGTCGGCACTGAGTTCCTCTCCAGATGCTCCTCAAAGCCTGCAGTCCCCTCCCCCTCCCAGCAGGGGCCCGCTGGGGCTGTGACCTCAGTCAAACTATAGGTTTCCTGCTCATTAGTCATCCCAGCTCCTGTTGGGATTGAAGTGGTCCCTGAGCATTACATCCTTGTTTAAATAGCGCTGGATTTGGGGAGGCGAGTACCAAATATAAGCTCCATTTGTGACCTTGCAGGGAGCCGGAACGCAGAGGCTAGAAGGTGGGCCCGCTGGTGGACTGCTGGGGGCTCACCTGCCACACCCTGAAATGGCCGTCCCAGGCCCTCTGCCCACCTGCCTTCCCCATACCCACAGCCCTAGCCCTCCCGGGTGAGGGTGGGTGAGCCCCTTGACTAGAAAGTACACAGGATTGGAGACCCCCATTGTCCTGGGCCAGGAAGCACCCAGCTGTATGACTTCAAGGCCAGAGCAAGGTGGTGGCCCCTGGGGAGACTGATTTGTGGGACAGAGAGCCAGGTGAAGCCTGCCTTCAGAGTGCGGTCTGCAGCTGCCCGCCCTGGGCCCGGCCACCCCACCTGGACCCCAGGGACAGGCGTCAGTGAGGAAGTGAGGCTGAGCGTGCGAATGGGCAGGGGGAGTGGGTGGTGAGGGCAGCCTGCCCTCCCTCCTCAGCCTCTCCTGGTGGGCAGGCGGGAGCCAGCACAGGATGGGGACATTCCATCCCGGGCTGCCTGCTAACAGCCTCTGTCCTGACTCCAGGATGCTTCGCTGGCGGCCAAACAGAATCCACATTCATGAGCAGCCATTTCGGCTTCCTGGCGGCCTGCACAGGCCGCCGCCTGCAGAATGTGACCGTTGCATTTTCTGCATTCCTCCTGGGGCTGCTGGGCCAAGGTGGCCATGCGTAAACAGGGCCTGCCCCTCCAGGCCCTGCATGTGGCAGGCCAGGCACTGCCCTCTGGGGACGCTGAGGAACGGGGCTTCTCTGGGTTCCTGGCAAGGAGAAGGGCTAGGGGGTGGTACTGTGGTGCTGCCAAGACCACGGCTGCCCAGGGAGGGAACCGGGGCCAAGTCCTGGTGCTGCAGGCTGCGGTACTGATGGGAAGGCACATGGTGTCCTCCACCAGCCTGACAGACCTTTGGGGTTTTAACTGAGCCCGTATAGCGGCCATTTGCCCTTGTAAAGTGTACAGTTCAGTGACTCCTGGTGCATTCACAGAGTTCTACAACCGCCACCATGTAGTTGTAGAACGTTTTCATCCCCCAGCAAGAGACCCCAGGCCCTCGGCCCTCACTGCCCATCCCACTCCCCCAGCCTCAGCAGCCCCAGCTCTCCTGCTGTCCCCGGGTGTCCACCTGTTCAGGTGTTCCGCAGGACTGAG